TTTTTACTTTTACTACATTGCACACATAATATGAAGATGCGGTAAATTTTTACTGACGTGACAACTACTGTACATCATAAAATAAATTAAAATATCTTATACTATATTATCGCCGTGCCGTGGTAGCTCAGATGGTTAGCGCTCGCTGTAAATATAACAGAACGCGAGTAACCCGGGTTCGATCCCCGCCGGCACCAATGAAATTGTTAATTGCAGTTTTAAGTGCTGATTTACCACGTGCTCGGCGGTGAAGGAAAACATCGTGAGGAAACCTGCATGTCTGAGGAATAAGAAAAAATATTTCGAAGACATGTGAAGTTCGCCAACATGCATTGGGGCAGCGCGGCGGACACTTCCTTGCCCTGAAACCCTCTCAGAAATGAGGGGAGGCCTGTGATCAGCAGTGGGAAGTATAGAGGCTGTAACTTAACTTTTTTACTTTTTTATACTATATTATACTGGTATTTATACAGGTTCACCCTAATATCTGTGGTGGGCTTGACTACCACTGCACTGGTAGATCAGGAAAGAAATAAGAACACACATATTATATTTTAATTTTATAGCTGGGTGGATGTTAGATTGAGGGATTTTACTATTAATTCACTATTTCTCAAGAGCTCCTTCTGGTAGTTTCTTCTTTTGTTATTATGAGCTTCTATATTATACAGGGTGTTAGTGTAAACATCGTTATCCTTTAAACCATTGGTTTGGTTTCACTAAGAGAACTTAATTATAAGAATTTAAAAAAACGCCATTTTCATTCATAAAATTTAAAAAGGTTCTGTCTGACATCGTCCGTAAATTCATTAATACCCTATGCGCCCGAGTGACGTAATCACTGTAAAGATCAGATATGATGAATCTGTCAACATAAAAACACAATAGGTGCCCATAACCTGTAATGTAACTTTTCCTTCACACTTTCACCCTGGTTTAGGACAGGCAAAAATTGAAGAATTAAGGAAAAATTTAAATTTTACTAAAAAAAATGTTATTATTTTTCATTGAATTTACGTTCTATAAGTGAAACCAAACCACTGGTTTCATGGACAACGGTGTTTACACTAATATCCGGTATTGTTTCCGTCTAGCTTCTATATTGTAACGGATTCTCTTTGGAGCGCAAAATGTCCAAAATTTTATTTCGTGGAGCCCTTTCCCCCTTTGTCTGTACATCACTTCTCTGTTTTAATATTTTATTGAATAAATTACAATAGGATTTTTTGTTAGTATTTATTGTGGTTCTTCAATCGAGTGTTGTCACCTTTCTTGAAGAAAAGTTGACGAGTATCATGCATCCGGTACTGATGGTCCTCAAATAAATATCTTGAAAACACCTGCAAGAAATATACCTTTTGAAAATCAAAATAGAATTGATATTTAATCTTGTGTTTAATTTATCAATTGGAAATGATAATATCTTTAGAAACGATTAAAAACGAAAGATGTTAAATAGTGGCTAAGTTTTGATTAAGTATTAAAGATTCTCGAACGAAATAAATATGCTTATGTCCTACAAATTGTTGTTTCATGTCAATTTCCACTGCTCAACATAGGCATTTCCCATAGCCTCAAGGCCTCATGGCCTCAAGGCTGCGGCCGAAAGCCGCACAACGTGGGACCCATTTCCTTGAGGTGAGCGGTAGACACATGACACGCTCTGCGGCTAGTAGCCGTGCTGATCATGCAATTGGTGGTGATGCCATACACTTACATCACGTCTGCAGGAGCGGTGGTCTGGCAGGTGGTGGCACTCACGGAGGGTTTACGGCCAATGTGCCTATTTGCCTAAACCGTGTGACGTACATTCACTGTGGCTGGATTCGTTCGTATTCTGTTTGGCATTTACACGCATTGACATGCGCGACTTCGGTCGATGTTTGTGCTTACGCACTAACAAGGGGCCAAGCCTCTTTTACTGGTTCGCCAGTTATTTTGCTGTGGACTACGGTCCAGTTCCCGAATTAGCGTTCCCTTCGGGGGGAGTGCATCAAAATGGTTGGCGCTCACCGTGCGCGGCCGTGTGCCTCCCCTACATTTTTTAAATAAATGTAGGAGAGCGAAGCTCTTGTATCGGGTATTTTGTATAAATATATTTTGAGCCTTTTCCGAGCGGGAAGGGATAAATAATAATAAATTAATAATGTAAACCTGATACAAGTGGAATAGGGACGTTTTAAGTTCTTAACCTTTCTCGAGCCCTGTCTTCGTGAACGGGGTTCACTTAGCTTATAAGGCACTACCAACAGCTTTCAGTTGCTCTAGTGAATATTCATTCTTCCAAAAGACACCTAAAAGAACTAAGTTACTTAACAAACACAACGTAAATAAGGGTCCTAACTAAGACGATCACGCCAAAATATTACAAACGGCCTATTATTAAACCTTTAGAAAGATCATTTAGAAAGATCAAAACATATCTTATTTATCCTGGTCGCAAATATATAATTTTATTGAAAAAGGGTAAATGTATTATATACAATATATTTATTATTAT